CTAGTCATCGACTTTCATTCCATCCTATACTTCTGATAGAAACCTCATCAAATACCTTCTTCCATTCAGTGTTTTACCACAACCTGTTTTACTTAGATCATGTGATTCCATTTTATTACCTCACTTGGAATGCCAATCAACAAATACCAATAAATGTTTTGAATTATAATTTTTAACATTTTTGATTAAAGTAGCGGATTAAAGTTTGCGTAGTTTCCTCGCCGCTGACTGCTTGTTGTCTGTTTTTATCTTAATCCAAACGAACCAGAATGCTGTCTTTCTGTTTTTCAGAACTTAGAATAACAAAAACCTGGTCGTCGAACTAACTTTAACTGATCATAATTCTCGCAGAGCAAATGCTACAGAAAGGTTAGGGCANATGGACATTTTTGATAAAAACGGTGCCACAGAAGTCCTTGCTGGCGGCTACCATGATCAAGTACTTGCCAACCTTTACTGAGAACATTTTCATGAANAGGTTAGGGCATTTCTCTTTGCTGCTGCGAGCGGGATTTGTCTGTAGCGCTGTCTATCCATTACCGATGGCGTAGAGAAGATTTCGTGCTCTCACTGATAAGTAATGGACATTTTTGATAAAAACGGTGCCACAGAAGTCCTTGCTGGCGGCTACCATGATCAAGTACTTGCCAACCTTTACTGAGAACATTTTCATGAAAAAACATAGCCTCGCCGAAGTCGTTGTTCGAAAAGTGGTCAGAAAATATTTTTCCCCTTAAAAAACCCGCCAGTAACGACATCTGCTGCACAGAGAAGGAAAAATACGCCTCCGCTGGAGCGATTTACAAATCAAAACAAACCGGCGACAGAAGTCTTCCAAAGCAGAACTTTGAGCCTAATTTCTGGTGCCGAATTCCCTCCAAATCACCACCATGAAGCCACACTACCAACTACTTCGAAGACTACTGCTGCTTCAGCCGCCTCGAACCTTGCAGTCCTGCCGGGGAAATGTCACCTCAACGGCCACTGATGCAAACAAGAAGAGCCCCTCTTCGTCTTCGGTGAGCCCGGCCGAGGTGGCCAAGTTTCGCCGCCACGCCGACCGCTGGTGGAGCGGGCCGGAGTTTGCCCCACTTCGCAGCATGAACAGCCTTCGAGTGCCGCTGATCAGCTCGGCCTTCGCCCAGGCATCGGCTCCAAAAGCTGCAAACCAGCCACTGGCGGGCGTGAAGCTCCTCGACATAGGCTGCGGAGGCGGCATTCTGGCCGAGGCGCTCGCCCGCCTGGGCGCCCAAGTGACCGGCATCGATCCGGTGGCAGAGAGCATTGAGGCCGCTAGAGCTCACGCCTCCTCTTCCTTCTCCTCCTCACTTCACTCCCAGCCCTCATACCTGAACAGCAGCATCGAGGCGCTGGCCGCCGAGCCCGCCAACGCCGACGCCTTCGACGGCGTCATCGCCTCCGAGGTGCTGGAGCACGTCGACAACATCGAGCTCTTTCTCCGATCGGCCCTCGCCGTCCTCCGCCCCTCCACCGGCCGCCTCTTCCTCACCACCATCAACCAGACGCCGCTGGCCTACCTGACGGTGGTGCTCGCCGCCGAGGCGGTGGGCCTCGTTCCCAAGGGGACGCACGAGTACTCGAAGCTGGTGTCGCCGGAGGCGCTGCGCCTGCTGCTGGAGCAGGACTTTGGCTGTGCCGTCCGCCTGGTGCACGGCATGGCCTTCAACCCGCTCACCGGCGGCTGGAGCTGGACGCAGCTGCAGGCGCTCAACTACGCAATGGTCGTCCAGAAGCTGTAAAAAGGAGACTGGGAAAGGGGCCAGAAAAACAACAACCAAAACACCATCTCTCTATCAGTGAAAATCTTTGGAAAAATCTTTAATCGAAAACTGAGATTGAACAGTTGTTTGGTTTGTGTTTACACCCTGTATGTTGTTACAGTAGTATGTAAATAATAGTAGAGTCATCCAGAACTCTGAGAAAGTGAAATGTGGGGGGGTGGTGGTGATGGTGTTTGAAGACCGATTTACAGTGAAAACAAGTTGTAGCCGTTGGTGCCGCTTCGGTTGACGATGTTGTTGGTGTTAGTGTTGGTGTTGATGGTGTTGCCAGAGGCGGCAGCGCTGCTCACCACCACCACCGGAGGACTCATCGCGTGGTACATGTGGTCGCTGATGCTGATGCCCGAGTCTTCGCCCGTCTCCGACTTGATCATCTGCTGCTGCTGCTGTTGCTGCTGCTGCAGATGAGAGATCTGATGAGGCTGCAGATAGTAGACGACTCTGCCACTGCCGCCGATGGGAACAATGGGCGAGATGGGGCAGCTGTTTTCTGTCAGCATGGACATCTGCTGCTGCTGCTGAGGCTGAGACTGCCCGGCCATAAAGCTATCCTCGCCGCCTCCGCTTCCTCTTCGAGTCGAGTTAAAGGGGGAAAGCTCTTCCAAGGAGTAGGCGGTGGTCGCAGAGCCAGAGGAGGCGCAGGAGCCGTGACGAGATCGACTACCACTACCTCCATTGGACAGATCTTGCAGCAAATCAGAAGCGGTCGTCAGCGGTTGCTGCTGCTGCTGCCCCTCTTGTTCACCGCCTGTCGAACGGGCGAGGATACTCTGCCCTCCGCTGATGACGTGATTAGGGTAGAAGATGTCGTCATTGAAGATGACACCGGCCCTCTTCTNTCGAGTCGAGTTAAAGGGGGAAAGCTCTTCCAAGGAGTAGGCGGTGGTCGCAGAGCCAGAGGAGGCGCAGGAGCCGTGACGAGATCGACTACCACTACCTCCATTGGACAGATCTTGCAGCAAATCAGAAGCGGTCGTCAGCGGTTGCTGCTGCTGCTGCCCCTCTTGTTCACCGCCTGTCGAACGGGCGAGGATACTCTGCCCTCCGCTGATGACGTGATTAGGGTAGAAGATGTCGTCATTGAAGATGACACCGGCCCTCTTCTTGAAGTCTTCCTCCTTCCAGGCAAGATGAGCCTCTGGCGACAGTCTGTAGCCATTTCTGTTGTTTACCGCCCCAGTAGCCGCGTTCGCTTTGAGAAACTTGATGTAGGCGATGGCCGAGTTGATCACCTCCGTCTTCTCCAGGCGAACCTTGTTCTGACACGACTAGTGACAAAGTGAGCGTGTTTAGAAAGCAAAAAAATGAGATAGAGCGTTTACTGATTGAGCTACCTTACCTTGCTAACAAAATTCCTAGGAACTAGCTCGCGAAGGTCAGTCAGCGAAGTGTTGAAACGCTCTCGGCGCCTCTTTTCACTCTCACGGTGCGTGGATGGATCCTGCTTAAAAATAGAAAATTGTGTTATTTAGAACTAGTTAGAAAGCAAAGCATTGAACCAAACCTGAGTTCTTACCCGAACTGCACGCTTGCTGGGAGCACTAGTAGTGGTAGTATTGGTAGTAGTAGAGTCAGTTGAGCTGGTCGAAGACTGAGGGTGAGAGCTTTGGCCTGCAGAAGAAGCTGTGGTGGCAGTGGCGGTGAGCAGTGTTCGTTGTTGCTGGTACTGCTGGTTCAGCACGTTACTAGCACTGGGTGACTGGCGAACTTGGTTTTGTGGTCGCTGGTAGGGACTTGTGGAGGGGAATCGAGATATTTTCACCTGCAGGTTCCCACTTTTGTTGATGGCCTTCACAGTTGCAGCAGCAGATCGGCTGGCCTGGGCAGCCACGGCGGCCGCCGCATAGGGCTCAAGACAAATGGTTCCACCGGTGCTGAACAAAGCTCCGTTCGGCAACAGCTTCTTTTGTTGTTTTGGTGGTGGTTGCAGTTGCTGTTGCTGCTGCGGCGGCTGCTGTGGCGGCGGCATCGGCGCCATGGCTGCTGCTGCAGGCGCTGCTGAATCAGTTGCAAGCTCGCTGCCGTGGTTGTTCGCAACTGAATCATCCATCTTCATGTAGTTGTGATTCAGTTGCATTAAAATGCGTGCCGCCGATCGGTCCACTCCGCCGGCCGAGTCGGTGGAGCTGCCCGAGCAGGGAGGGGACGCAGGACTCTCGGGAGTCGCCGGGGACTGTTGCATTATGAGAGAATGAGGTGATGGGTAATAGAAATGGATAAAGAATTGAGAGAATGAGATGGAAAGAGAATAACAAAGGCCGTAATCAAGGATAGAGGAGAAAGGAGGCAGAGAGAAATAGAACAGCTCCGGA